GTCAAACCTCGTTAACCGAACCAGACACATAGGGGAGAGTAATATTCTAATAAACATTTGAAGTGCATATTATAATACAAAAGAAGATTGATGAGTATTAGGCGGCTGCGACTTAGAGAGTCGAGTTTAACATCGTGTCATTGAAATGTGACGTTGATTGTTATGCCAGTATAAAGAAATAAAATTGTGCATACACTACTAAATATCACTTTTGGTGCAGTGATAAGCACATGACCTTGAGGCTGGCAAAGTGGCAAGTGCTGGGAGGAGATTATTGGATGATGGTTTGGATGGCTGAGGCCAGTATCCTGGCATCAAAACATGGTGTTGATTTCTACGCAAATATAAGAAAATAAAGTTGCGTACTCACTAGCTATTAACTATAACTTTTGACGTAATAATAAGCTTTTGATTATGACATTGAGATATTAATCAAAAGAGATGAACATTTAATAATAATAATAATAATAATAATAATAATAATAATAATAATAATAAGACTGAAATTATGATAATAATAATAATAAAAAGACTGAAATTATGATGGCGAAAGTGGAAACGCGTGTGTAGATTTAATTTAAGCGGAAGGGTTGAAAATATGGCACGCAGGGTCCCATGATTAAATTTAAAAATAGTTAAATGAACATAAAATAAAATATCTGGAAGAGGCAGTAGCACAGTTAGGGCACAAGATGGAAGATGGAAGATTGAAGAAGGAAGAAAACACACTTTATTAATTTGTAAATATTATTATTATTATTATTATTTTCATATTCTAAATGAGGCACCAACGTGCATGCCTCCCTACACTCAAGTTGACGCATCTTTGTCATCACTTCATAGTTTAATTTATTTTCTGTGTCATCGTATTTTATATTTTTAGATGGGTTAATATTATTTTTGGTCTCATACTTTAATGGCGTTATCATTTTTAAGAGTAAGTAAATGGATTAATATTATTTTTGGTCTCTTACTTTAATGGAGTTATCATTTTTAGGAGTAATGCTACATACTTTTCCTAAATTTTTCCTCATAACATAGTACCATCTAATTCAATTCTTTAAATTAGTATTTGATAACATGTATGTTGGGTTAACTGATTCACGAACATCAAATTAATATAAGTCACATTACTTATACGGGTGTGGATGAGATGTTGCGTACAGTGTCGTCTCTTCTAACTTAATCACTTTGAAGTCTTACCTGACACAAACATGATTAGGCTGCTGTGTGGAATTCTAGTGCCCCATGGAATGACAACAAATTAAAGGTGGGATTGGAATTTTGATTGCTTCCTACACAAGTAATTAAACAAAAACCTAATTGTACGTTCTATATATATCCAGTACAGTTGTCCCTGGGTAGAATAACTTTGAGACTGGTTGCCTTGCGAATTGATGATTGACGAATCTATCCCGTGTTTATGATTGACCCAGTAGCTTTAATTGACAAAAACATTGGCCAACGGCAACATCGTAACACGGAACGGCAAGTTCACACGTACGGTCAAGCAACGCGGGGTGGGGGGGCTGCAATATAATTTCGTTCATGAATCCTTCACAGACAGCGCCAAATTAGCCAGACAAAAACGCAGAGCTTTTTTTCTAAAGTAAAACAATGAATTACAAGTGATATGATGACAAAGTAAAATGTATCTACCTATAACCCATTATATTTCACACTTTAGTCAAGTCTCTAACTCTATCATTACAATGAACAAAGAAAAATAGACAAGTAGTAATACATTTCAATATGAATATAAGTTTGAGTGTGTCCCCTACTGTCACAGACTCACAGGCACTCAGCTTTTATACTAGACAATGATTACTAAGTATAACAGTTATAATAATGAGCACAACGGCCTTCTAATAACTGCAACACTCTCCTTCATAAATGTGTTGGCCTCTATAATTGTTGCTCCTTAATGATGCAATAATACTCTAATAATAAGTGCATTAGCTATGCGCTTAGTAGTTAGTACAACCACCCTGTGCTGATATACTCTGCTCAGATCGTGACCGTTACTATTTGACTGTCTTGGTTGCTTTGACAGGTTAGACTAAGAGTGCATTGGTTGAACCCGAATTGAAACTAGTATGATTATCCAATTATCCGGTCAAAACTTATATAGAGAATGTATGTTAAAAAATACATTGACAAAAGTCAATTATATTATTGTAAGATTAATTTAAATTTGAATGAATCATACTTAAAGTTTGATTTTTATTTGAAAACAGTTAGAACACACAAAAATTAATCCTCAAATTTTAACATAGTAACTGGTTTGGTTAAACTTCCAATTTCATTTGCTACTGCTAGAGAAATTCTCCTTTCCAGGTGGGCTTCACATATTTAAAACGGGTTTGCCCATCCCATCGGTAAACAAAGCCCATGATGTTCCCAACACAATATTCACAACGTATATGTTTGACAAAATAGTATCACTCTCATAATTATTTCAATTCAACCCAAAATTTGTAGACTCCTTGCTATTTGTCAAGCCCAACATATTATTGAATTAGTGTACGTTATCCTATTCTTAGTCTCAATACATATTTTAACGCGCAAAGTAGCACGGTTGATTTAATTAATCACACCAAATATTGCGGATCAGAGTGAAATAATGAAAGCTATTATCACGAGATTATCCATTAATTTAATTTGATAGCGAAAGTATATAATTAAATTATGCTTGTCAACGGCGGCTAACTAACCGACCGTCCGACCTCTCAGCTAATGTATATCCCAACGACAAAATGATAAAAATGTTGTCGTAATGATGGAGAACTCCCTGAATCCGACATGCAAAACAGCCATTTTTGTGGTTTTCGATCATACGTACACACATGCATTACTCTATCTGATTTGTTTTGAAAATTGTGATGAATTTTTTAAAGTTTGTGCTAATATTTTATCTGATTTGGTTTAATTTGAGATATATACTAAGAGCATCAATAATAGTTTAACTTTGAGTTTGATGAATTTTTGTAAGTGTGATTAGGTAAAAGATAAAAATGCGAGTAAAAAAGAAAAAAAATTCTGACATTTTTTTTTTAAAAAAAAAAAGTAAAAAGTTAAACAAAAGTCAAAGTGGCCGCCAACTAGCGGCCACTCTGACTCGCCAAGCGCGCAGCTACCTTTAAAAAAAAAAAAAAAAAGAAAATTGACATTAGTTGGGTTGTTGCAGGCCAATTATTTTTCAATTAATTCATCCCCACATCAACTATGATCTTGAAGAAGAGTTAATTGATCTCACATTACCTCCCAAATAACTTCTATTGTTGATGCTCTAACTATATTATTTTACATGTATTTTTTTTCTAAAATGTAATATTGGTTCATTGCAAATAAAAACTTATACTCCGTACTTGTTTAGATCAAAAATAGAATTTATTATTACTCTGTATTATTTTTCTCATGGCTCTGATAGACTTTAACAATTATCGATTTTTCAATATTTTAACAATTGTCTCACATTGAAAAAGTATGTAGTTTGCATTAATGTATATATACATCTTAACTTTTAAAAAAGTTTAAAATAGGTAGTTAATAGGCTATTACATTAGAGAGGTGATGGTGGGGTTTTGACTAGTCCTAGGCAAAGACCACTTTGTTTACGCAGAAGACAATCCAACAAATTAAAGAGGCAAAATCACTTAAAATGTTGAGTTAATATAACCGATGGATCTTCGATTAATTAAAACTTCACAAACTACAAGCCTACAGATTATTATAATAAATTGTTTGTCAATTACCTCTTCGGTCCCTTCTAGTTTGTCATCATTTTGCTGGGTTGAAAGTTTTATTTAAAAAAAAAAAAAATTAAAAAATAATTCATGAGTCTGTCGCATGTAAAAATAATGGAGTAATTATTTAGGAGGAGTTTAGTTCAAGCATTAGAATTAAATTATTTAGTAATGATAATGAGTTTAAGTATAATGAATATTTTTGTTTGGAAGTATATATATATATATATATATATATATATATATATATATAAACACTTACATATTATATTATTAGGATTAAGTGCTAAGGTCAAAAGTTATAGCCCTTATCGGCATTAGCCCAACAATTCTCCTCCTAACACCTGATGATGATATCACTTCTTAATTTGGATCAAGCTCTTACTGTTACACCAAAAGCTATAGCTTACAGCGAATGCACAATTTTATTTTTTATATGCCACCACATTTTTGAAAGACATGGTGTTTGACATTTGCCTAATAATTTCCCTAGCCACCAATTGCTGGACTAATCTTTTACAAACTTCCGCCCGATACATATATGTGTTTATATATTAAAGTTTCGTATTTAATGCATGAACAATGATCTTTTATTTTTATTTTTTGTTTAATTTCTTATTTTCCGCTCATCTTTTATTCCGATTGTTCAAAAGTAGGAGAGTATATAGAAGGATAATGATTTTATAATTATTACTCGTAAATGATTTTGAATGCAATAGTATATATGATAACAAAAGTAGGCAGACAACCATGGTAATGAGTATCAAATCTAATAGTAAGATACGAAAGCCACTAACCAAACATGATGTAAATTGTGATAATCAAATACTTTGATAGAAATACCAAAAACCATGTAGTCAAGTGACATAATTATGGCTCTCCCAAATAAGGGGTCACGGGTTTAAACCCCGAACAGGAAATCAAAATTTTAAAAATAAAATTCAACTGACTAATATAAAGAAATTAGTTAAAATAATTTCTCTCTTTTTTTTTTTTTTCATTTTCACTTATTGCAATCAATAAATTAAATCAAATACTTTTTTTTAGTACTTCAAAGAGTCAATACCACTCCCAGACTCAAACTCAAACTGATGGACTCTCATTTGAAAGAGTCACTTCATGCCACTAAACTAGAAGTTCATTAGCAATTAAATCAAATACTTATTTAACAATTAAATAAAAATTAATAATCAATAAAACATTAATTGATCATCTATCCGATCACCAAACACGTACTCTTATATAAGGTTGTAACTCCAATGACAAGAAACACAAGCATTCCAGCTCTCTCTATGTTTGATCAGACATCATGGCTGTGGCAACCAAACCTCATCCATTTTCACTGTACGAAATACAATTTCGAAACAACAGAATATCAAGAACCATAGAAATCATTATCCTATTCCTTCTGCTATCACTCATTAGCTATAGACTCTTCTCTCTGGGCACCCATAATGATAATGACCACATCATCCCTTGGCTTCTCGCTCTCATCTGCGAGGTTTGGTTCACTTTCGTTTGGATTCTCACTATCAACTGTAAGTGGAATCAAATCCAAACCAAAACATACCCTCAACGCCTCTTGCAATGGTACTACATATTATGCAATTTTATAAATATATATTTTCTGTTTTTTCTTGAGCGTCCGGCGTACGTACTACGTAAGTAATTAAATTATAATGTTTCGATGTTTTTAAGGTTGGGGGATGGGACATCCGAGTTTCCAGCTGTGGATATGTTCGTTACGACGGCCGACCCGGAACTGGAACCGCCGATTATAACGGTCAACACGGTGCTATCTTTGTTGGCTGTGGACTATCCGGCGAACAAGCTAGCCTGTTATGTGTCGGATGACGGCGCATCCCCCCTCACCTTCTACGCCCTCGTCGAAGCATCCAAGTTCGCTAAGCTTTGGGTTCCCTTTTGTAAGAAGAATAACGTCGCCGTTAGATCTCCGTTTCGATACTTCCATGCCAACTCAACTTTCCCCCAAGATAGCTGCTTAGAATTTAAACATGAATGGAGGAAAATGAAGGTTTGAAAATAGAAAATTTCTTCATATGATATTCTTGAAAAAAAAAAAAAAAGTTCTACTTTGAAAAGGTTTGAAAAGAGAAACCACTTTCCATTTTGTGCATTATATTTTTGCAGGATGAATATTCAAAGCTTTGTGGGAAGATAGAAGAAGCAAGTCAACAGTCTTTACTATGTCACCTTACTGGCGAGTTTTCAGTTTTTGCAAACATTGAACGACAAAACCACCCAACTATCATAAAGGTTATCACTCCCTCTATCCAAATTAAAATTCCATTAATGGTGTGTTTGGTTTGGTAATGGTAATGGATTTTGGTGAAAGTATTTTGCATGTTTGGTAGTATGGTGGAATTGGAATTATTATCAATATTGATGTTTGGTTGTGTACGACCCTATAAAGAGAATAAATATTTTAAAAATTTATTAAAAAAAAAACAAAAAAATGAAGACAATTGATTCTAATATAATGAAATCCAAATCATCAATATAAAAAAAAAACATTAAAACAAAAATCTAAAAATATTAATCCAAACTTAAAAATTAAATTACGAATAAAATGGAATGAAACCCTTTTTATTTAGGGAATTAAATTTTTAATTGAAGGGGTATGTAATCAAAACCCATAATTGTGTTTAAACAAATTGACAACCAAACGCTAACTATGATTTTGATTATCATCCTTAGTGTGTAAACCTATGAACCAAACACAACCTAAAATTGTACATACTATGGGTGTGTTTGGTTCATGGGTTTACACACTAGGAACGAGAATCAAAATCATAGTCAGTGTTTGGTTGACAACTTTTTAAAACACAACTATGTGATTTGATTACCCCTTCAATTAAAAATCTTATTTCCTAATTAAAAAGGGTTAATGGGGTATCATTCAATCTCATTGGTAATGTAATTTTTAAGTTTGGATTAGTGCTTTGAGATTTTTGTTTTGATTTTTTTTTTTTTTTTTTGTGCTTATAATGATGCTTTCGATGTTATTATATTAGAACCAATTGTCTTGATTTTGTTTGTTTTTGTAAATATTTTAAAAACATTTATTCTCACTATAGGGTCATATACCCTACAACCAAACATGCAAAATACTTTCACCAAAACTCATTATCATTACCAAGTATTTGATTCTCATTCCGATCCCGATTCAGATTCCAATGTGTGAATCAAACACACCCTAAATATAAAATTAAATTTGAAAGTCATCTTATCTTATCTTATAAGGAAGAGTAATAACACTACATCATATCCCCTCTTGCTCACTATATTTTTTTTTACTCATGTTGATGAGAAATGTTTTATTGATTATGAAAAAAATTAAAAACACCTAAATAAAGTATGACACTACTTATAATTTTTCTAAAGAAAATAAGTGAGAAAAAGTTGATAATTTCATCTAAAGAAAATGAGAGAAAGTTGATTTCACCTATGAAAGATAAAGTTACTTTATATAGCATATCACTCATCTTATTAAGTTACTTTTTTTTAATTTTTTTTTTATTTTACCTATAAGTAGCATATCTTTAACAAGTTACTCTTTTCTTCTTTTTTTTTCTTCCCCTTTTACAACACGAATTTGTAATATATATATTCTAACTTGCTGTGGTTGCTGACCATGCAAATCTTTAAGGTTATATTGTAAAAAATATTAGTACCAATTTTATGAATTAATGTTGTGGAGTACTTCATCATCTCTGATTGGTGGCACATTCTATGACTTTATTTTGTTGTGTAGCTAATGGTAGGGAATTAAAAATTACATTTATTAAATAAATATTAATTCAGGTGATTTGGGAGAACAAAGAAGACATTGATAATGGTGATGGTGTGCCTCATCTAATATATATCTCCAGAGAGAAGCGTCCAAAGCATCCCCATCATTATAAGGCTGGAGCCATGAATGTTTTGGTAATAAGTTTAATTTAAACTTTCTATAATAACTAATGAATTCTTTTTTTTTTTTTTTTTTTTGGAAAGCTAGTGACTCTATACATTGTAGTATCTTCTCGACCTAATGAAATACACAGAGTCAAACATACTTTTTCAACCGATCTCATGACCTCCTATATAGGAGAGATCACTACATGTCATCTGAGCACAAGGTGCTCGACCACCTACAGTTTTTTTTTTTTAATTCTTAAAGTTATGAAATAATTCCTCCCTCTACTATTTACACCTTACAGTTTTTTTTTTTTTTTTTTTTTTTTTACGTGTCCACCTCAACTATGATTTACACCCAAAAAAAAAAAAAAGATTTGAAATAAGTACGTAACTCATAAGTTGGAATTTTTTTGTTTGGCATCACAAACCTTAGCTTGCTAACCATATTTGGAACAGACAAGAATGTCGGGAGTGATGACAAATGCACCATTTATGTTGAATGTGGACTGTGACTGTTATGCAAATGACCCAAAAGTAGTATTACATGCCATGTGCTTCCTGCTTGGAGCTGAGGATGAAAAGGATGCCGGATTCGCTCAATTTCCTCAGAGCTTCATTGGTGGATTGAAGGATGACCCTTTTGGAAACCAATTGAAAATTATAATGGAAGTAAGTACAAATCTCATCTCTTTTTCACATATATTAAACTTTTTGTATGTTATTGATTTTTTATATTACTGCTGAAAGAAAAACAACTTAAGAAATCATTTTTTGAGCCCGTACGAGCAATTCAAGTGATAAATTGTGTGCAATTCAAAAAATCATTTAACTTTATTTATTAATTAATACGTTAATATTTTTAATATATAGTATCTAGGGCGAGGGATGGCTGGGATTCAAGGACCATTTTACCAAGGAACAGGATGCTTTCATAGAAGAAAGGTTATATATGGCATGTCGCCAAATGTGGCTAACGCTAGTGGTATGCATAATAATGTAACAAACTGGGAACAATGTAACAAGTTTTGTCCAACTAAAGTTATTGTCATAAATTCTTGTCTGTTTCTATTTCAATTATTGTATGTTACATTATCGCTTGCTTTTTGGATATTTATTGCCACTAGGGAAATCAGCTGACAAGGACCAGTGGTTAACGTATGGCAAATCAAAAGTCTTCACTTCATCAATCGCTCAAATTTTATCTGGATCTTTATATCCTCAGATTCCCATATTCTCCAATTCCCTTGATGCCGCTAAGGAAGTTGCAAGTTGTGGCTATGAATCTGGCACTGCTTGGGGCCAAAAGGTTAGTATATAGACAATTTAATTTATTACCATTCAAAAAAAGATACATTTCCGTGAAGTTTTGACATCTGATTTAGAAATCAAAAGTTATCACCCCAAACAAGAATCTGACACTTCAATTGGATGTATTCCACATGAGTCCAACAATCATTATTTCACGGTTTTAAGTCTTTTCAAAATCAAAATTTTTAAATTTTGTCCAACTAAAAAAAGGTAACAATTTATAATTTTGTACTTGTTTCAATCACCAACTAATAAGATGATTAGAAAGTGGTTCAAAAAAAAAAAATCTAGAGAAATCCAAGCCATTGCTTATATTTCTCTAAACCTAGGCATTGTTTATGTCAAATTCCAACAATTTTTGGGGTGGGCAAATTTTTTTGGTAACCATGACTACATCTTTTAAAAAATTTCAACAATCAATGGTTGGAATATTAGGGTTCATGTTGGCGCCATATGTGTCTTATGCAATCAAATGTTTCAATCACTACAAAAGTTAATAAGAATTTTTGACTACTTTGATCGATGATCAGAATTAGTGAGGACTTTTTATGATCTCTAAAATTTCAAAATGCTTATTTCTGAATAAAAATTATTGATATAAAAAATTGAGTATTTCTATAATCATGTAGGTTGGGTGGATGTATGGAAGCACAACAGAAGACGTCCTAACCGGTTTAAGTATTCATAGTAAGGGTTGGAAAACCGCCTATTGTGATCCTGAGCCGCCCGGGTTTTTGGGAAGTGCACCAACAGGTGGGCCGGCCGCATTGACCCAACAAAAACGATGGGCCACTGGGCTTATGGAAATACTAATCAGCAAGAAAAGCCCAATTCTTTCCACCCTATTTCGGAGGCTCCAGTTCAGGCAATGCTTGGCCTATCTATGGGTTATGGTTTGGCCCATTAGGCCCATTTTTGAAATATGTTACGCTCTTCTCCCCGCATATTGCATCATCAACAATTCTCACTTCCAACCAAAGCTAAACGAAGCCGCCATTGTTATACCAGCTTCCATTTTCATCGTCTACAACTTGTACACTCTATTCGAATACATCGACGCCGGAGAGTCGCCGCGGGCGTGGTGGAACAACCAGAGAATGTTGAAGGTGAATGCATCTGCGGCGTGGTTGTTTGGACTCCTAAGTGTGATAGTTAAGGTTGTTGGGTTATCTGAAACGGTGTTTGAAATCACGAAGAAAGATCATTCGAGCGATGGTGGTTTAGACGAGGAGGAGGACTCCTACGTTGGAAGGTTCACGTTTGATGAATCTCCGCTGTTTGTCCCTGGCACAACCATTTTGCTGGTGAACTTGGCAGCTTTGTTCATTGGATTTCTGGATTTTAAACAAAAGAAGAGTTGGAGTTTAGAAGCAATATGTAGTGTTTGGGTAATATTAATGTATTGGGCATTTCTTAAGGGGTTGTTTGGAAAGGGAAAGTATGGGATTCCATTATCCACTGTTTTAAAGTCCGGGGGATTGGCACTGCTCTTTGTCCATGCCTCCAAATTCAAATACTGATCTCTATTACTTGTTAAAGTCATTATATTTTCGGTCAAAAGTATATTAATAAAAAAATAATATTTTGAGTGACAAGGAAAATGCACAGTTATTACTTGAGACAATTTGATTACGGAGAATTAACCACATCTATATGATGATTTGTTTCTAATATATATTTTAGGAATAAGGGTCAAATAGGCCACTGAACTGCACACGAAAATGCAATTAGGCCACTGAACCTAAAAAACCTACAATTAGGTCCCTAAACTAATCAATTTCATTCAATTTGTCCATTTTTCAAGTTTCTCAAATTACTAACAGGTTAACCCTCCACCTAGGATGCATATGTGGCATTTTAAAAAAAAATAATAATGTATTTTTAAATTAGTTTTTTAATATTTAATAAATAAAAACTAAAATAATTTATTTTTTAATTATTTTTTTAATGTTTAATAATTAAAACTAAAATAATTTGTTTTTTTTATATAAATAAAATATCGTACAGGGGCTTAGATTTTATTTTCAAAAAAAAAATGTTATTGTAGTTTTTATTTATTAAACATTAAAAAACTAATTTAAAAATAAATTATTTTAGCTTTTATTTATTAAACATTAAAAAATTAATTTAAAAATATTTTTTTTAAATGCCACATATGCATCCTAGGTGGAGGGGTAACCTGTTAGCAACTTGAGAAACCTGAAAAATGGACAAATTGAATGAAATTGGTTAGTTTAGGGACCCAATTATAGGTTTTTTAGGTTCAGTGACCTAATTGCATTCTCGTGCGCAGTTCAGTGACCTATTTGACCCTTATTCCTATATTTTATACTAATAACAATTGCATCACATAAACAAGTCTTTAATAATGAGTTCCGCCAATCAGCTTTAGGAATAGACGATAATTACGAGTACCAATCAAAAGCAATAATTGAATAATTGATGCTTATTGATAAAGAAAAAAACATTGAACTGAAGTTGATTGCCTTACTTATACACTAAAAATTATGAACCGTACGTAATAATTATGAGTCAACAAATCAATGATAATCGATGACAATAACGAGCATTAGTTAAAGACAATTGATATTGATTGATTTGAATAAAAATATATTTTTATATTTGTTAATTTGTCCACATGAATAAAAATTTGTGCACAGAGAGCAGGATAACTGTTTCTGTACTCCACTTATGCGCAGCGTCGCTTCGATGGTGAATTGTTTTTGTTGCAATCGATTTAGTTCGAAGGGCACCTCTTTCCATAATGTTTCTTGGAGTACGTGTGGTCTTCCGTAATTTTTTTTTTTTTTTTTTATAAAAGAAAACAGTGAAATAAGCCTATGAATTTTATACAAAAAATAATATAATTAATCTCTTTAAAAAAGTTATAATTAAACACTTCAATTTATAAAATCAATTAAATAAATCTTATTTATCGGTAATCAATAAGTTACAGATATAATTACGATAACGTGACATATAGGATGTTGTAAGCCACCCTTCAAAAATAAATAATAATAATAATAATAATAATAATAATAATAATAATAAAGCAACCAAAGCGACCGCTAGTTGTCTTGTCCATAATCGGCGGCCACCTTCTTGAAGAAGAAGAAGAAGAAGGCGACCAACGATGGTAACTTTCTCCAGTGGATAAGGCGATTGATGGTCATCTTTTCTACTGGAGAAGTTGACCAAGGAAGAAGAAGGCGGTCAGTGGTCACATTCTTCACTAACAATGACGATCGGTGACTTTTCATTGATCGTTAGTTTTATCGGCCAAACCTTAATGACAGATTATTCTAAGTGAATAACTAGTTATTAGACTACAGTGCACTAAAATGACAATTTTGAGTGTTTAATTGTGTAACTTTTAAAAGTTTAGGAGTCTAATTGCTTAATCGTATAAAGTTGAAGGGTCTATTTGTGCTTTTTTCTTTTTTCTTTTTTTAAATAATCCATGTTTCTCTATTTCACTAGGATATATTTATTTTGAATCTTTTAAATTTGTCCCTAATCCCCTAAAAAGTTAAATTGAGTCAATCTACATTCAAGACTCAATACCAAATTGTGCACTTCTGTGCCTAATGAGGTAATCACCAAACCCAAACATCCAATGTTCGTGACAGGGATCAAACATATTGTGTGTCTCATATGTACTGAGAAATGATAGGTGTTGGACAGAACAGAGCAAATTGTAGTGATCAACGTTTACGTTTTTCCTCCTTTGTTGCGTAAGCTAGTACATGTACCTTGTTTAGGGTTGTATATAAATATGATGCTTGTAACCATGGATGTTTACTATCAAAATTAGGCACATTATTGAAACACGTGAATCATGTCATTCCTTACTTTTTACCATTCTTTTCAATTCTTGTTCTCATTTATCTTAACAAAATCTCATCTCTAGAAGTAGTTTTTAAGCAAGACTTTTCATTAACTAAGGCAAGTGTCATAGGGTTATTTCGTAATTAATTAATTTGGTACCGGATAGGAGAAACAAGATTAGAATGGTAGAGTTTGGAGATTAGCTCCACTGATTTGGTTTGGGCTAGTTGGTGTTGGTTGTCTGGTGTGCAAAAGGGTATAATTTGGTGTAGGACTGAAAACTAGGCAATCTTAATTTAATTTCTCAATTTGGCAAAACTTGTAAAGTTGAATTATTACTATTATTTTAAAAAAATCAGATGTCACGTGAATGAATGAATGACATAATACCGAATTTGTGTGTCCTAAAAAAGTGTGCAAAGCAGCCTGTCTTCACCAAAGCCAAAGAGATGTGGGTGGGGATGTGTTATCATCATAATATAAATAGATGCTCAATCATAAGGCCCTAATTGGTTAAATATAATTTGTAGAGAATTGTATAAGGTAAGGTTTTTTTTTAATGCTACTGACTCTATTACAATAAGGTTTTTTTTTAATGCTACTGACTCTATTACAATGTAGTATCTGTTCATATATTTTCTCAACCTACTGAAATACAAAGAACCAATAACGTCTCTGTTGAGACTTAAACTCACAATCTTCCAAATGAAAGTCCAACCAGGATACCATTAGACCATATAGTCTTGGTGTATCAAGGTAAGGTAAATGTTGATATAAATCACCAAAAAAATTTGTTTTCTTTCTACTTGTGCTCTTTGTACTAATATCTTCATTAATAAAGTATCCGGCCTTATGATCATCTTTTTAAAATTTTATTATAATCAAAAAGATATTTTATAAATATTTTCTATAATATTAAAGCTAAATAATTTTAGTATGTGATTCTGAATAAGCATGCTCGAATATTGTTTTCTAATTCGTAGTCTCAATACACAATTTTAACACGCAAAAGTGACATGATTTATTTAATCACATAAAATATTATGGATCTGAGTCAAATAATGAAGACTATCACGCACCACAAGTTTATTGATTATTAATTTGATTTGATACGGAAAGTATAATGGCGGCTAATTAACAGACCAATCTACTCGCAAACAAAATCGACACGTAAAAAAAAAAAAAAAAAAAAAAGATGTTTCACGATAAGAACTCCGCCGAAATCGACCTGCAAAATTGCAACTTTTGTTGTTTTCGATCTTTACTTACGTACAGTCATGTTTTTTTTTTTTTTTTTTTTTTTTTTTTTTTTTTTTTCTGGGGTTGTGCTTAAGTTAATCGATAGGGATTTGGTCAATAAAAGATATAGACAGATCGACAAAAATGGTGATGGGGTTGGGCTGCCATGCTTAAATGCTTGAAGAAATGGGGTAGTGTTAGGTACATAAGTGGGGCTATGTTCTAGAAATAGTGATTAAAAGACAAAGAGACAATAAATGAAATTTGGGGTGGTATGAGTCACATTGTGTAGTACGTAAATAGTTGAAACACCACGTGAGATTGGCTAGAATGTATAAGTTGGCTGAAGTCATTGCAAACGTTTTGTTTTTCCGGAAATAAATAATCCGATCCATAGAAAATATCAATTTTTGCCTTTAAAAAAAAAATACTTATAGGGTGTACATGAGATATTGTCGAGTTTCTTTCAGTTTAATTACATTAAAACTTATTAATGAGTGGTTTGACATTCTTGAGGTTCTATCTAACATGAATACAACTAATTTTGATGTGCGGAGTCTTATTAATGCAGCATGACCAAGCAAACGTATAGTAAAGCCAAAAACATATTCCTCTCACGGCAAACAAAACATTAGATGAAAATTAGGATATGACTGGCGGGTTGATTATGTGACTCGCGATTTACCACCACAGTGGCTCTAGGGGTGGTGTCCTATGAACTTAGAATTAGTTTGGTAAAACTGGGATCACCATTTTTTTTTTAAAACATTGGATACAGAGAACATCACAAAATGAAATTACACCCGGCTACCATTCAGCCACTGATGGATGTAATTTAATAATTTAAAAATAAAAGTACTTTTTCTTTATTGAAGGGAATAAAAAATTTGGGCAAAAATATTTCTAATATCCATCCATCAATGTAAAAGGATATAACAAAAATTGAGGTGGGAAAATTTGAATTTTTGTAAATAATTTGGGTGGAAAAGTTTATTTTCTACTAACCTCGGTTGAAAGAAATGAAAAATAATTTAAACAGAAAAAAATTGTTGAATATAATTCAATATTTAGCCCATCAAAATGGTTATACATTTTCGTCCAACTTGTTAAAAATTAAATTGTTTGTCTATTTGATCATAAGATGATTGAAAAATTTCATCCAATTAATTTTATCACGATTACAATTTTCAATGCATTTTTTTGTGTGTACCTTTATGGGTAGACATGGTTAGTCCTAAACGAATTGGGATTATTCAAAAATTAATTTGGTATTCATTTTTATATAATTATAAATAAGTAATACAGAGTAAAATATTTATTATATTAAAACTAGTATTTGCGCCCGTGCGTTGCACGGAATGAATTTGTTATAAAATTTTAAAAATATTTATATCGATATACAATTGTATAAATTATAAAATCGAATATTATATAATATAATTGAAGAATTTAGTTGCACCGATTATGTTTTCTGATGTTATCAAT